GTTAAGGTAAATTTTACATTAAAGGATATTAATGGTTGAGTGCTTAATGAACCATATTACTTGGAATTTTAAGTAAAGAAGAGCGAGCCGTGAGAAATACTAGATCTTCAGGCAATCTTACTAGTCTAAAAGATTACTGTAATTAGGAACTGAGAATAATGTCGGTAAAGTTTGAGATAAGGAAGTAGAAACGATGGAATTATTTTTTTTTTATAAAAAAAAAATAATTATAAATAATTTTTATGTCAATAGAAGGAAATTTATTTGTTTGCTCTTGTTTATTTGTACCTATTTTTATCATTCATAAATACTCTCTATGTTTGTCATATGGAATGAAAGAATAAATAATTAAATAGATCTTAAAAAAGAAATATAAACAAAGAAGAAAAAAGTTAATGCACTGTTTATACACCGCTGTATGTACTTAATAAATTCTGTAAACCTTTATAATAGTATAGGCTATGTGTTTTGTTATATGTTATTTATAAATTGCCAACATTTAGATCAAAAGAATTAAGAACTATAGTAGCCAAATAAGTTAAAACGTCTAAATGCTAATGACTAAGCCTGTAAAATTTATGCTGACTAATTAGAATATGTTTTAAATTATAAATGACATTCAATCTATAATCTTGAATACGAAAAGCATTAACTCCTAATTGTCTTACAAAAAACTACAGGTATGAATACTTCTACAAATCTTACGGCAGAACCTTATCTCATCCTGAACTTCAAGGGTAGTAGGATAGAAGAGATTCTGTGGTTAACGTTTTCACCATTAATTATTCTTGGAGGCCTTATCGGCAATATTCTTACAATTATTGTTCTCAGGACAAAATACTTTCATAAAATTGTCGTCACGAAGGCTCTCTTGCTATTGGCAATTTGCGATTCTATTGTTTTATTATTGGGTCCAACAAGATTTTACCTTAATTGGAGCTTAACCAGGCGAAATGACTACGACATAAGGGTTTCAGCGAATATAATATGTAAATTACACGTTTTTCTGGAACATTGGATAACGCAATGCACAGCGTGGATAATAGTATTCGTGTCTGTAATGAGATTGATGTCTGTTACGTGGCCACCTAAAACCAAAATCTGGTTAACTAAATTCAATACAAGATTAGTATTGGGCATATTAATGGTGGTACTATTCCTTTTAAACTTCCACGTTTTCTTTACCGTTAATATCGTACGGAGAAAGGGTAACACTTTCGCATGTCAGTTTAAGAATAAACTCGTCCACTACATATTCGACGTTCAAGATGCTATTCAAATGTCGTTGGTACCCTTCTTTATTGTATTAGTCATGAACGCTCTTATTCTTTGCATTCTGGCGAGAGCTAGGCAACAAAAAAGTTTGAGAACAACTGGAGGATCGGATCAAATTCTATCAATATCTTCAATGCTATTCGCCGTTTGTTTTATTTTCCTGATAACTACTGGACCTTTGATTATAACGCAATTAATATGGAGAATGATACCTCCAAAACCGTCAAATGAAACCCAATCTCTTATATTCGCCTGCCTCAACCTTCTTTTCTATTGTAATCACGTATTGAATTTCTATTTATATACGCTATCCGGCTCTCAGTTTCGGCAAACCCTCATATCTGTCCTCTTGGGTAGTGATGCAAAACGTTTCGAAGGCAGCAGAAATCCTAGCTTGACCACTACAAGTCTTCGAGTAAATACTCACACAAGGAAAAGTGACGAGCTCTTGCATATGACCTAATCTTCTAACTAATCATCCGTGAAATTATCTAATTAACAAATCATTAATGAACTTAACAAATAAATAAATAGATATTCAGTATATATAAAAGTTGGACTATTTATCCATTCATCTATCCATCTATCTATCTATCTATCTATCTGTCTGTGTTTCTTAATATCACCTTTTATGATTGTTTCTATCTTCTGCCTTAAATATATTCCATAGTGTGTTGTGTTTGTGTCTCACCTCGTTTATTTGGTGTTTATCATTCCAGAAATAAATGACCTATATCAACTTGATAATGTCAAATTCTCATAAACATTCTAAGCATACACCCACAGGCGTTAGATATATATTATTCAATGTAGGCCTGAATTACTGTTGAAGAATTTAGTGGTGATTCTCGCCATAGGATACGAATATACCATGAAATTTATGAGTCCGAAGAAAGTACTTAAACCCCTCCTTTCCTCGCTCATCTTCATCTTCCATAAAGATTTTTGTTTATATAGCAATAATTTATATTTTTGATATAGTGATTTTGAAGAGGAGGAGGAAGAAGAAGAAGAGGAGGAAGAGGATGAAAGAATGCTTTTTACCTGTCTTAAAAGTTAATGCAACTGTGTAAATTCCCTAAACATATAACACTGAATATAATCTAAATAAATAGTATATATACACATTATATACCCTTACGTATATCTATAGACAAAGTATATATATATATATATATATATATCTGTATGCTTGTGTATGCGAGGTTGTATATATAAGTCTGTGTCTACGTACCCTATTTTTTATGATACTATTTTGATGATAAAGTATCAGATTGTATCTTCTCATTCTCTACTAAAATAGAGCAAAAAGAAGTAAGAAAAATCTATTCCATTCTTCTCTTTACTAGTGGACTGCCTTAAATATTTATATAATAAATACTCATGCATCTAGCGTTCATAGATATATTTTATTATTAATACATTCCAAGAACAGAATACATTAACTATATAACGTATTCCAACGATGGTGTACCGTGTATAGATATATAGATAATGCTTATGAGCATGCCTTATTCCAATGCATATCAGTATATTAGTATCTATAAATAAAGCATGCAATAATAAAAGCAAGAAAATGGGTAAAGAAAACATAAATATACTTATTTATCTATTGCCATTCTCTCAAACTTGTTTTTATGCTAAATTTTTTTCTTATTTACACATCTTCTTAGCATTTTATTTTTGATTGACTTTTCTACATCTTATTTCCGTCTTCTTGTTCATAGTTTTTTAGTTCAAATGTCACTACTCTATTTACTTTTCTTCGTTCATCTTCTCCTAATAAACAAACTACTTGTATCAACTCTTCCACTCCTATTGATAAAGTAAACATAATTCTTTTTTTCAACAGTGAAATAGTTATTAAAACTAAAACCAAATCTATAAATGTATTCCTCTTTCAACACTTTCCACAGCCCTCTTCAATTTTCTTGATGTCAAACCCAAATATATTCTCTTTTGTTCATCCTCCAAATGAGCTATACAATACAAATATCTGGACCTGTTTTCAACTACTTTTACTATATACTGTATGTCAAAGATTGAATAGTTTCTTTGCACCTCTCGTGTCTCTTGTCATTTAATTTCATCTTGGAAGATATGCTACAATGTCCCCTATTCTCACTATTCATATAGTCAAAAACCCTGAAGTACAAAATTTTTATAGCAGTCCATCTAGTGATTCTGTTCTTCTCCTGACTTTCTGTAGCCTATCAAGGTTATACGATATGAGTCATCTATTGTTCCAAGGTCTATTCTAGAATAGAAGTTAAGTTGAACAACAATAGAATATTAAAACATAGATATTATGTGAATTTTTAAAGAGGTGGGAGGAGAGAATTTTACATACATTTACAGATAGATGGCACTGATAATCTTCGCTGGAGGCTGTTTCAAGTAGCCACCTGAATACAATAAATATCCTTAGCAGAAGGAATGTTAAGGATAAAAATTTGCTTCATTTAGGTGTTTTTTTTATTATTTTAATTTAATTATTTTAATTAATTAAATTCAAAAATCGCTTATTCCTATCTATCCGTAACTTAATCTTTCAATCTTACTCACCAGCCTCCGTCTCTCTATCAGACTTTGAACGAAAGCTAAGACAGAAAGTGCTAATTAACATATAAAAAGAAATTTTGAACGAGATATTGATTATATTTTATTCAAAATCAATAAAATAAAGCTGAAGTATTAGTATCTATCCTACAAGTTTGGGTATCGCTGAATAATTTAATCAGGACTTATCTCTGCTAATCGTAATTAATCGCAAGTATGTCAAGTCTAAGACAAAGTAAAAGCAAAAAAAAGCAAGTTTGATACTACTTTATATTTTTCAAGAATATGAAGACTGTACCATGTTTTCCAAATTTTTGTTCAGATTAATAGTAATAAGTTAAAAATGAATAATTGAATATGTGTAACGTCGTTTTGACGGTTAACTGGAATTTCTCACACAACCTATCAATGAACTAAAAAGTAACATTATCTATGAATCTATCAAGCGAGTTTTTTATCTACCAGATAACATTCAAAGTATATTAAAGTTTTTGAAATCAGAACATATCACATCTAGTTCTAGTCCTAGGACATGAAATTGTTCAAATCTTAGAATGAAACCTTGGAAACTTTTACTATGTTATCATTTGATATAATGAAGTGAACAAGTTGTATTTTAATAGAGAATTCAAGAACTTTCTAGGTTATCTTAAGAAGTAGCAATATCTGTATTTCTCATTTCTGCTTTGAATATCTCTTTCATTAAATCCTTTATAGTTTTAGTTTCTCTCTCTCTCCCTCTCTGCCTTTACCCCTTCTTAATCTCTTTTTCTTTTACCTTTTGCAACTTATATAAAACATTTGTTAAAATCTCTTAATTGATTAATAATAATATTCTGCCAAAGGTATCCATTACTTCATCCATTCTAACTTTCTAGATATAATTGATGGGTGACCTACTGTTGAAATGCTAATTTTATAATTCATTGTATTCCAAGAGCAAGGTTAACTTTTATATTTATTAATATATACAGTATATATAAATTGGTTTATAATATAAATGATAAGAAAATTTTTAAACGATAACAAACAACTGATAATCCCCTACTTTCTCTGAGATAATATACTCGCTTTTATTATATCTTAGGAAGAGATTAGAAATCAAACTTTCACTGGTGAATTTCAGATTACGGAAAATATATAAACTAGCAAATAACTGCTAATGGTTTCAATCAAGCATTTATCACCATGTTAAGGTCTCAAAAACTTCTCAAAGCCGTTAAATTCCCCGCTCTTTTAGCGAGGTATCAAAGCACTGCTGAACAAGCTGCTGCAAAAGGCAAGCCACTCCAAATTATGTCTTCGGCTTTTGTTCAGAAAACGAAGTACATTAGGACAGCCTTCGGAGATCTCTATCCAGATACAACAAGGGGCGATATTGATATGTCATCTTGTGATTATCTAAACTATGCTCTTCACCCATATCTCAATAAAATTGATGGTGAATCCATTATTAGACGAGGAAGAATCAGCTTCAATCGCTCCGGTTGCTATGTTCGTCCTCCAGCATCATCTGTTTATCGTTTGGAAGATGCCATCACTGAACATACTGGTGGATACCAGACTTGCTTTGTTAACTCTGGTACTGAGGCAAATGTTGCTATATTCCAAGCTATCCTAGAAAATAGGCCAGAGTTACCAATCTATTTAGATAAATTCTCTCACGCCACAATGGTTCTTGGAGCAAATGCTGCTGGAAGATCAGATATTCTCACTTTCAAGCACAATAGATTGGACCACCTTAGGAAAATGATCGACGAAAACGGACCTGGGCTGATTGGAGTTGATTCTGTCTACTCTGCGTACGGAACAGTAGCACCCTTAGAACAACTAACAGAATTAACCAGAGACACTGGGTCTATCTTGTTAGTTGATGAAAGTCACACATACGGTATATGCGGCGAACACGGAGAGGGTGTAGTTAAAGAATTGGGATTGGAAAAAGATGTTCACGTTAGAACCATGTCGACTGGTAAGGCCTTGGGTGCTGGTGGCGGTGCAATTGTTTTAAACGAGGCTGTCGGAGATCATATTGAAGATATCAGAAAAGGAACAAGAATGTCTATTTTCTCCTTGGCTCCTCAAGATTGTATTGCTGACCGATTATTGGAGACTTTGAGACTACTAAAAGAGGAAAAGTGGAAACGAACCGATCTTTACGACAAGATTAAATATTTCAGAGAATCATGTATGGAAATGGGCTACAACGGCTTATTTGTAAAAGGTGAAACACCAATTATAACATTCGTTATTGGACCGGTAGATATGGCAACCGAAATGTATAAAGATTTTGTTGAAAAACAAATATTTCCCTCTCCTCACGTCTATCCAGCTTCACCAAGAAATCGTACTGCTGTCAGGTTCACAGTCTGTCACGGTGTAACTTATGAACAACTCAATCACGTATTGGATACATTGAGAAATCTAAGAGAAAAATACAAGCCAGAAACATGGGTCGACGCTCAGGGGATCGACTTATTTTAAAGAAAACATAGACGCAACGATAAAATAAACATTCATATCTATACTTTTTCACTTACGACTAGTTTTGTCTTTAGCTGATTTTGTTTATGAACAATTATTCAACTATATCTATGTTATTTTCTATATTTTATAAGAGTTTTTTTCAGAAGAATATTAAAGAAAAGAAAAATTGAAGACGAATCTTTCTTTTCATTTGTTTTCTTTCCTAAAATCTTTGGAAACGAACTTGTTTTGTTTTTTTATTTTAAGTTTCAGAATAAAAAAGAAAACGATTAAACAAATTACAGTATTTTTTTTATGTTTTTTTTAAGGCAACAGTTATCAAATACAGTCAATACTTTAATAGAATCAAATGAGTTATAACTTTTTGCCTTTTCCTCTCTTTTCCTTTCTTTCTGTCTTTACTATTAGAAAGAAAGTAAACAAAGAGAGAGAAATGAAAAATTCTACTTATTTTTAATTTAAGATAAACGTATTTAAAGTTTTCTTTACTCTCAGTCTTCTGTACATTAATTAGCGGAAGAAGCCCCATATAAACGCTGACATTACAAGAAGAGCACCTGCGCCTATGTTGCACATTTTCTTCCAAAATGGACTCTCGTCCAAAGATCCACTTTTACTCTGATGTAAACAATTATTGTAGATAAAACCGAAAATTTATAATACAGTATTGCTTTACCTTTGCAGAATTAAGTTCTTCATCGTTAACAGATGGAGCTTTTTGTTTTTCAATACCACATATCCATTGTAGACCCTTTGTATACCAAGGAATAACTTCATCTATAAATAAATAAATATATATATATATGTATTCAATATTAAACAACCGTTTTAATTATAGGAATTCTTAATTATTTAACTAGTATATAATTTACCATCTACGGATTCTCTTGCTGGAGCGTCGAATTTGGTATTATCTTCAAAATCATCCTTATTTTCTTCCGTACTATATCTAGTCCAGAACGTTAATCGGTGAAGCTAATTTTTTTAAGATTTCTATCAGTCTATTCAAATTTTAGTTAATTCCCTTACTTTATTCTCATCAATAGGTTCGGTTAAGAGGCTAACAACAGTTGTAATAATACAAACAATGGCGAATAGTAACATTCCAAAATGGAGATAATGAAAATTCTGTGGCGAAATATTGAGGGATGATTAATGTATTTTCAGATTATTAATCATATTTACCTTTATGATTGCAGGCCTTTCATCTACCTCACCGCAAATTGGTTTTTCATATGAATACTCCCAAATAAATCTGACGAGACCAATTAAAAGGCCAATTACAAGACCACAGAATGCGCCTTTCTCGTTAATTCTCTTCCATAGTATAGCCAACAGATAAACGGCACATATTGGCGGGGAAAGAAAACTTTGAACGGTTTGTATATAATTGAATAATTCGGAAAAATTTTTAACGATAGGAATCCATGCTATTCCTATTCCAACCATGAATAGAACGAATAGACGCCCAACTATCATAAGCTCAATTTGACTGGCTTTTGAACGAATTTTTAACCAAATATCCATTGTAAAAAGTGTAGAAGAAGAATTAAAAACGGACGTTAAAGAGGACATTAAAGCCGCCATCATAACTGCCAGCATTAACCCTCTAGCACCAGTTGGCATAAGCTAGAAGAAAAAGAAATAGTTAAATTACATGTAAACAGAAAAGAAAAGCTGAAAGAACCTCCAAAACAAGTGTTGGATATGCAATATTAGTACAACCATTCTTTTGTCCGCATGCCGCCATACAGGATTCAGGATCAGCACATGCCACAGTATCTATTTTGGAAAACAGTTGTTCTATTTTTAAAAAATTCTATCCTAAGAGTTGTCTGACCTGGAAAGAGGATACGAGCAATCATTCCTGGAACAACCAGTAACCACATAGGAAGAATTTTAAGAAATCCAGTCAAAATAGTACCAGCTTTGGCGTGAGTTAAACTTTTGGCGGCCAGAGCTCTTTGAACAATTACCTGATCAGTGCACCAATACCAAATAGAAGTAACAGTTAAACCAAAAAAGACACCAGGCCACGGAAGTTGCGAATCATCCGCCGATCGAATTAGATGAAGAGAATTCTTTGGAGGATAGCCACATTGTAAATACGAGCTAGTTTGATTTTGCGAAGAATGATACTGCTCAAAGATTGTAGTATTCGGGGCTGCTTGCATAAATCTTTGACTGATTGTTGAAAAGCTTCCAACTTTGACAACTCCTTTAATATTGTTCAACATTAAATTGGATTAATGAAATCTTATTGCTAAATAATGTTTATTTTCTCTTATTTACCCATTATCAATAACGACGCAGCTCCTATAACCATAATGCAAGTTTCAACAAAATTTGTCCATATCACGGCAGTAAGACCTCCCGCAATTGTAAATAAGGCAGCAATACCCAAAAGTAGAATTACTGATACATACAAATTCCAGCCAAGGGATCTTTCAATGAAAACTGCTCCAGCGTATAGATCAGCCTATATAAAGATTAGTTTTTATTTTTATTTGTCGTGCTTTTGTGTTTTGTTTAGTTTCTTTAAAAATAGACGAAAAAAGGACAACAACAGAATGAAGAATAACAAGGACAAGAATAACATTGAAAGATATATGGAAAATTACCGAAATTTTTGTAAAAACCGATAAAAGTAAGGCTAAAACTGCCAAGTAGATTCTTATTCGTTGACCACCAAATCTTCTATTTAAATATTCAGGCATTGTAAAAACCTTTAAACGAGCGATAATTGATTTTTAATTAATTTTAGAGATAAAATTTAAATTATTCATTAAATCTTACCCCAGCCGACATATAAACCGGTACAAACACCCAACCAAGAAGAATCAAAGCGAAAACAGCCTAGATAAGCGAATTAAAGAAAAATACTTTTTAATGAATATCAATTGTTTATCCTTTGATAACAAACATTCAATTCGAAAACCGATACTCCTATACCGCTAGCAGCACCAAATCCTGCCAAACCAATAAAGTGACCACTACCAATATTGCTAGCGAAAATCGACGCACCAACAGGAATCCAATGCATAGATCTTCCAGCCAAAAAGTATCCACTAACACTTCCCCTATTCCTGCACGATGACTAAAAGAAAGTAGAAGAGAATAAGAGAATTGAATATAAATTTTCAATAAGTTATTTAAAGAAAGCTGAACACCGTACTTTATCAATTCGGTTATATGATATTAAAAATAAATCCATTTGTAACTTAAGAACAACTTTAAAGAATAAAAGTAATAAAAGGAAAAAAAATAACTGAACACGTCCTAAAAAAAAGAACCTACTGCTACTAAATCGTTGGTTGTATGACGTATGTATGTGCTATTAATTTGATATCCAGACACGAAGATTCATTGTTTTGGAATTAGTCCAGTGATTGATATTTCTTTCTCTTTCATTCAAGGTTGACTGATCTAATTTTAAAGTGATGATAAAAAGGCACTTTTAACTGTTCATTAAAATAGGAACTATAATAGTTTGGAGTTTATATTTCGCTTGATTGATTTATTACTTCCTCTATTTGAAAAAAAAACATACGCTTAAACACAAACACACACACACACACACACACACATACACATACGTTTTGTTTTCATTCATTCATCTTTATTGATACATGTTTCGCTTTTAAAGTAAGAGAAACGTATAAAAGAATGACAAAGGAACAACTAAAGGAGAGTTAAAAACAAGCAAAAAACTTTGAATAGTAACTTTTAATGTAGACTAGTGGGCGTGATAAAAATTAGTCATGCCAATCGAATTATAAATAGTACTTTTGTCTAATTTTTAATGGATTTTAAATATTTTATGTAAAGAATTCCAAATTATTTTGTCTTATTAATGCAATTAGTAAGAAAAAGAGTGAAGACTATAAACTATATACAGTATACTGTATATATATATATATATATATATAGTATACACGGACTGTATATATCCTATATAGTTTTTATTACGTACACATCTAGAAGAGGAACGATTACGCAATTCAGCAAGTTACCATTAACCTTCAAGCATCAACATCTGTTTCTTTTTATGTTTTATACATATAAGCTAAAAATATATTGTCATTCTTTTATATACTTCTCTCTACTCTTTCTTCAATTTCAAATGCTGAAGAAGAAATATGAAAAAAAAAGATACTTGTTTTTACCCATCATTGATTATTATAATAAACACATTCTCTATTGAAGTGTTTTCTTATTCGGGTCTGCTAGTTTTCAATTAATAACATTTCAAAACTTCTACGCACAATCTTCAATTTTAGATAAATCAGATGTGATTAGGTGAATAGCCTTAAACTGTCCTCTTCTTCTTCTTCGTTCGCATCTTTCATTGTAAAATCATACGATAAATAGCTTTCTTACTATTTTTCGACTATTCTAATGCTATGTTAACAAATTAAGAGTTTTTTCTGGAATATGTAAGAAATATAGAAATAAAAGAATGATATATTCTTCAATTATTGCGACTATTCCTTGTATTTCATCCATCAATCTATATTTATCCTTAAAACTTATATTAATCTATACAACTACTTAGAAATGTAAACTTTTTCTAAATACGCTTTAATAAGTTACCTTCTATTACTTATCAATTAATTAATTAATTAATTAAGATAAATGCATGGATATGGGGAAAAAGAACTATTTTCTTCAATTTCAAAAGTTTGTCTCTATTTTTCACTTGAAAAATGAAAACTTTAGTTAAATATTGTTAGTTTACATAGAGTTAACGCTTTTATCACTTACGTATAGCCCAAAACTTAAGACTATTGTAAAATATGTCACTATGACGGCTATATCACCGGCAGCCAAATTTGTTCCTTTCCATACATTAACAGCCATCTCTTCCTGGTGATTCTCTATCTTACTGTATGAAATTAAGGACCGTGCACTTGACAAATATTCACAGATGGCGCTCACTCTCATCTGTTTTATAACAATTGTTGGGATTCTCAGGCGTAAATGACAGTTTGGACAAAGATAAATTTATATAAATATTTTATTTTTATTAACTGTTTTTTCAAATCTGAACAGAAAAATATTATACAATTTTCTTCTGTACGAAAATAATAAAGTAATACTAGAACAAATATCTATGAATAATTGGAAAATTTCGACCAAGGTACAAACTCTTTATGCATCAATTTTCTATGTATTCCCTATCTAAGACAAGGCCATAAATATTTAGAAACTTTCTAGCCATTATTCCAAGTTCCTTACTAAATAGGGAGGTAATATTTAAAATATTCAGAAAATTTCATTTACACAAAAAATGTATTACGTATACATTTCATAAATCAAAGAGATATTATCGAAACTAAACCACATACCAACACATTTTTTCGAATATATATAGATATATACATTACACATATAAAACCCTTGCAGTAAACCTTCATTATACAATAACATCACATATGCTTTAATAAACATTCAGAGATTAAGTTTACGGTAACCATAATTCTTTTAGATTTAGAGCAAAAATATACGATATTTTTCAAAAATATAAAATATATATATATGGAAGCTATAAGTGCACACACTTACATCGTAAAATTACAGTGACAGGAAAGTTTCCTTTTTCCGTTAACAATTTGTCAATGTTTTGTGATGTACGCCATAATGTTCTTATACTCCATAAGAAAATCATACACACATTTTTATAACAGTTGCCGTAAAAACACTCTTTACGTTAATAAACAATGACAAAGAGAAATCAAGTATGCAAAAATGAAACCGTTCACACCTGGATTGTTAGATGATAACCTAAACTGCAAAAAATATCCAAGCACAAAACTATTTATCTACAATATATAGGCGCTTTTTTTATGTATAATTTTTGAGCAGTTTTTTTTTCCTGCTTATTGCCAAATAAGCTATTAATGTACAACGATCTTGATATTTTGGTAGTAGCAAATAAACTAAAAAACAATATTTTGCGTGCATAGGCCCAAACAATGAAGACGAAAATAATCATGGTATGCCCAGCCCGGTATTATTTTCATATTTTTTTTGGTTTTTTTCATGAGATTATAGTCTATTATGAAATGATGTGAAAGAACTAATCGGCCTTTGATTGACTTAATCTTGTACTTGAATGTCGTTGACGGTGTTTCCTTTTGTCGTCCTCCTATTTAAAAGAAAATGGAAATACATATATATCCATTAATATATTAGACAAGTAAACCTATTCGTTAAAGAAAAAAATTTCAATTCTATATAAAATATAATTGTTTTCTTCAATAGTAATAGTTTAGCTAAATAGGTTACAACTAATAATAAATATACGGCTTGTCTACTTTCAACTTACCCCTTCGCAAACTCTAAAATCTTCTAGATTCTTGTACCGATTCAACCAATCCTTTAATTTTGAATCAACATTAGGTGTTCGTCTTGAATATTTCAAAAACGCCCAAAATTTTTCTAATCCATATAATTGTCCATTTTCGTAATCCCTAACAGTTTCCTCTTGAAAATCTTTGAACAAGTCAGGTCGGAACTTCTTCTCCAAGCCATAAGAATAAAAGCGGAAAAGACATTCTAGACCATAACGAAATCCGTGTTTTGCGTCCTCCACAGCTGTACATTTAAACTCCGAATACATTTTTCGATTGAAATGTTGACGGAGGAAAAACGACCAGAATCGGTAAAGGGTATTCATTTCTTGTGATTGACCATTACCAAATTTTTTACGCTCTTTAAGACATCTATATAACATTTAAATATATTAATATTCTATCAAAAGTGAACTGTTACAAAAATATTGTTTTTTTTTTTGCTTTAAATATAACGTTATCAAACTTATGGATAACTACCTTGCTCGATATTTGTGATAGACATGCCAAACAAATCCATTTTCCTGCAGTAACTCGTGCGATGGATGCTGGAAATTTGCGTTAACCGGAGTTGAGCCATAGGAAGTCAAACCATCTTCAAGGACTGGCACCTCAGAACTAGAAGCAAATGGATGATCAGCAGCATCGATAACCCAACCGAAAGAACCTTCTTGCGGTGGATTTTCGCTATGCCTTGTCTTTCGTTTACGAGGAGAAGCAGGGTCAGGTACAGCCGTTTCCTTCATTACCGGGAAAAATCTTGGTGCTTTTTTACCATGAGGAGTACGTGGAGTTTTTTGCAACATTGACTCTGAGACTTTTATTTAAAAAAGTATCAATTAGTAAATTTAATAAGAATATTTCTCAATGTTAAAATGTATATAGAAATTTTACCAGAAGATTCAGATTCAGCTGAAGGCGGGGGAGGTGGAATCTTTTGATGAGCAGGTGCGGCAGATTTCTGCGGATTTAATGCAGCAAAGTCTTCTGCAGAGATAACTTGAACGTTTTGAGGTGGAATACATCGTTCAAAAGTTGTAAAATCCTAGTTAAAAGGGAAAAATAGATTTTGTGTTTAATAAAACATTAGATATGTATTAAATCAACTCACCGATTTATCCCATAGATCTTGCTCATAGTAAAATAGTCCCTCATCAATAACCTTGGCCATTTCAGATGTCATCTTTGCCCGACTGGTGTGATCTCCTGTACGGTCTCCCTGAGGGTGTCTTCGAAAGGCAGGCGGTGTTTGTGTGACAATTAAAATTTTGCTTAAGTCGATGTCTGCTATTTCTCCATCGGAATCATCATCTGACCTATAAAGTTCATATGGTTCGTAAGAATATACAAGCGTTCAAGAAAGAATAATTAACAAACCATTCACTAAAGTTGTTCTTTCTTCCAGCCGCCGCTGAAATGTCAATCTCCTCGTCAAACATAAAATCTAATTCTTCGAGCTCCTTTCTGGACGATTTCTATAAAATAGGAATGATACAAATTATAATATACCTCTGTACCAATTAATAGCATTTCTAATAATAAAAAAACTTACAGAAATCGATGGTTTTTTCTTTTCTTTGTGCTCACTTCTCTTTTTCCTGACTTCCTGCCATTCTAAGTCAGAGGTTGGAGCAGATACTGACAAACTAGCTTCCTGAGGATTTTTAGTTGTCAATAGTTTATCCAATTCTGCAGAATTTTCTGAAAAAATGACCAGATAAATAATAGAATAAATGATAAGAGGTAACAAATTAAAAGCATTAAACGACATACATAAAAAGCTTAATAACTATATTGCTTACCATTAACCAGTAAAATCATACTTTCGAGGAAAATGAAAAAAAGACGTTATATATCTGTTAGCTACGAAAGAAGAAATTTTAACTTTGAAAATTACACAACGTAACGCCATATTGCATGACGCCTTACGACGTTCGCTCAAAATAAGTAAAAAATATCGCCATTAGCGATTAGGATTTAAAGATTATATTAAAAATTCAAGTGCATATATATATATATATATATATATATATATTTGTATTCATAAATATCATTTCATATATATATATATACCAATAGGTGATTTACGTTATTTAGGTAAAAGCTAAAAACTGGTTTTGATAAGAAAGTAATAAGCTAAAATTATTTTTTGTCGATTTTCATTTTCCCATTAGCGAGTATCATATAATTATTTTATTAATAGCTAGAAGGAGTTAGTTCCTCCGTATCACATAAAAAATATAATTCTATATTCTTTTTTGCAATAGTAATAACTAAAATAAACTTGATATTGTCACAGTCAAAACTTTAATTTCTCAATTACGCAACCCTTATCCTTTTGTAGGTAACTACTAATTTAGACGCAGAAATAATAATATAGATAAAATTAAAGCCAAGTATTAGAATAGATTGATAGATGCAACCATTTAAAGAGACAAATGATATTGTTAAAAGTAAATTAAGAAGAAAATAAAACTACCTTGATTAAATCAGAAATTAAAAAGTACCTTAATTGTCCATAATTGAAAAAGCTCTTTGATATTTATATTAAAGATATTACATAACTCATTTCTCTTTTTTTAAACTTTTCAGTGTTTCTACATCATTTTAATAGCATTTTCCTCTATGATTACAATAAATAATATCATATATCAAACACTAACAGCACTTTGCTTAAAGACGGACTTGGGAGGAGTTAGAAAAGGGAAAGGTAAAAAAATATTAAAAAAATATCTTTTCGATCACATTTCCACGTACATCTATAGAATTACTTTTAACGCTCTTCAAATAAATGCAGTAATAAGTTAATAAACTAAATAATAATCTGGAAATGTCAGTAAAAAGTATAATAAAAAAATAATATAAAACTTTCAATAAAGATGTGCTTGGTAAAAAAAAAAGGATAAAAAATACAACAGAAGATTTGCTAGATTGGAAGGCAATTTTTATTTAAACGTTATATAAGTTTTAAGTAATTAATGAGTGACCTGAAATAACATAGATTGCAATTAAAAGTTAAAAAATGAATGACTTTCGTTCATGGCAAGGAACAATTTAGATTATATATATTTATATATATATATATATATATGTTTCTGAAAGACAAAATTCAAAAATAACAAGCAAACCTTCTGCTAACAATAATAATCAAATTTCTCTATATTCCATATCACAGAAATCAGTACACATCAGAAACAAGACACTAGAATACGTCACGTGAAAATCAGTAATAGAAATTGGAATTGAATACGTTATTAAAAGTTATATTAATATATGTATATTTGTATTACGTAAGATAAATATATTCATATAACCTCTTTGATACATTCATGTCCCGCACTTAAAATTTCTTTTTAACGATGATTAAAAAACGTAGCCAGAAAAGATGTAGATTTTATAAAAATAAACTGCTTTATGCCACAAAGTGATACACATAAAAGATTTTTAAAAAAGTCTAAGTTAAAATGCACTTTTTTCTGCAATCCAAAATGGGCCTACAATGAAACTTTCATACATAAATGCTTGTATGAACAATTTATATTCATATATGCATTTACATATATACTGCATATATGTATATATCAAGTATGTATATGTATGTATGTATGTATGTATGTATATATATATATAAATATATACATATATATATATATATATTGATATAATATTTTTTCGGTAAGTGTCTAAGTACACTTTGGTAAATTTCCCCCGATTGATTTATAAGCTTTCTCAATTCCATAAAACAAGAAATAAGTTTTGGTTAAGACCAATCTCGAACACCAATTTTAGGTATTCAAAAAAGGTTTCATTCACTAAAATTGAATATGTAGTTGGCATAGGGTTAAACGAGCAACTCAAATATTATTGGGGCAAAGCAAATGCGGATGTGAAGAAAACTCACCGCGGATAAACGGTTTTCCAGGTACAAACTCTGGAACATTCACATTCAACTGCCCAGAATTCTGGTTAAGACCCAATGAGGATGCTGGAGGCAGCTGAGGGGCCACTTCTGGTTCAGTCGATTCCAAAGGCCACTCAGCAGGTGATTCAATGGTTCGAATTTTCGCTTCGTCTTCTGACAATTCTACTTTTGTACTCATTTTTAGAGCACGAGCAATCTGTCCCAAGTCCTGCGTCAGGCTTCGCATTCTATGGAAGCTTGCAATTAGACCTATATCAACCCATCCAGTTCCTGGTTCCATTTTACGGCGTATGTAGATATCCCCTTGGAGGTTCTCGGGAGACAAATAATATTCCCTGTACCAAAGGCATGAACCGATTAACCATAAGTATTATTTACGTTACCGGGATTAAACTAAGGTACTTGTTAATATTGCCTATTGCGATATAGGTATAACTTCATATCTAAAGTTATCCTTGCCCAGGGACAATAGGCTTATAATTTAATTGGAAAAGAAATAATACAAAAATTAACATACACTTGGTTTTTTATCAAATCCATAACGACATTCTCATCGTTTGCTCCAGTGAAACTGTTATAGTAGACTGGTCCTGGCAAAGGTACAAAATTGTTGCCAACAGCCATGTCGACTGGTTCAGGCGTAGTTTCAAACGTAGGAGCAGAAGCGGCTTCATAAACATCAGCTGCAAAAAAAATTATACTAACTTGATAAGCCATGTTAGCTTGATAAGATAAAAATGTTAGAACTAAAATAGGATCACATGAACATTGTTGACCCTTGGCTCTCTTAAATTTATTCTAGAACGTCTACCGAGCAAATCAGCGTAATACGATCGGCTAAGTAGTATCTAAGACAATTGTACGATAACTATAGAAGCGCTTTTCGTTGATATTCTGGTATTTTTCGTAGATAAAATGGCCCAGGACGGAAAATCAATAAGTATAATTTCTTACAATGTAGAAGTAGAAAACATTTTTTCTCACTTTGAATAATTCCTTTGTAAATAGATTTTAAAACGTTCTGAACGCGAAATTCATTGGTAACGATAAAACATCATCATTTATCACAGTGTAGACAGGTTGTACTACATTCAGACACTCTAAACGAAAACATTATGATAAAGTCATATTATTTTATGATAGATACTACTCATAAGTAAATTTTCAAAGACCAAGAGCTTATAGTATTATGAGCTTTAATACCAGTTTACATTAACCTATATATACTAACAAATCATTTGTAACTAGCAATTGGTAAATTCTAATATTAATAAAAGACCAATGGTTATTATTTATATGGCAGTACCATTAGAAATAAATCTCTCTTGAACCTATACATTATAAATGTTCAGTGTTCGGTTCATCTGCTTGCGTAAACACTCTTCTTTTGCAAATATTACAACGAAATTCTCAAGCCGAGCAATAGGTCTATAAATATAGCTTATATCGTCTTGATCTTATTTTTGCTTTTCTTATTCATTCAATATTCTTTATAAATCAACTAGAACAAGCGCTAACTCTTATGACCTAAATTTAGTTAAGTCTGCCGAACCAACAATTACACCTCAAATTACAGCTATACACTGCACAATAGAGAATAGATTTTATCGGATTTAAATAGTAACAAATATTTCAATCTAGTACTGCACCAAAACGATGTGATTGGGTCATTAGCTAGTTGCTAACCACGTTTACTATAACCAACAGATTTTTAGTGATTAGAGTTCAAATTTTTATGATTAGCTATAAATATAATAAAAACAAAGTAGAATGATTTAGTTTTCATATACTTACAAGCACTGGCAGGTCGATTAAATCTCGAATTTCCGCGTCCTCCTGCACTGCCTCTTCCTCTTAACCCCCTACCGAATCCTCTACCTCGCCAATTTGAACTCCACTGACCTCTTCTTCCGCCTCTGCCTCTGCCATTGGCGCCTGGCGAATTCTCTCGACTTCGACTACGTCTGGAATATCTTTCCTTCTTGGGTAATTCTATTTCTAGCTGCTTCCATTTTTGCTTTGAGCTTGATTTCTTTCTTACGGAATTATCTTCTGAACCGCCGTTTTTGTTTTCCTTCGACGAATCATCAGTACTGTCGCCGTTTGAAGCTTCCTTCTTGTCTTTTGTTTCGACAACGTCAAGAAGGGACGGCCAATTTTCCGTGTCATTTATTGCCTTCTTCTCAGGAGTAGGCACTTTGCCTTTCTCCTCGACTTTTTTCTCAGGTTTTATAACTTGTTCCTCTGTAAAGAAGAATAATAATTGTAATCAAGTTCTTTTCACTGATACGAAGATTGCTTGATGTACGTTATTTAGACCTATTTAAGAGAATAGTAAGAAAATGTCTAGATACTCTTTTTAACCAATTAAAAAAAATTATGTACGAGATAATAATATTAGTACATTTAATTGAAAAAAAACTAGATCAACCATTTGGACAAAGCTAGATTCTTGTTTCTTTAACAAATTTTCATTTTCAAAGATAGAATAGAAAGAAAAATGGGTCGTGTTGACCTTGGACTTTAATCGATGTTCGCTATTAAAATTGGCCAGTTTTTTATTCTAATGACGATTCTGTTCAATTGCTATTAATATTTCAATTGAAACAATAGACTGCGAAAATATACTTTGTCGATAATCAAGAACTTTTTTTAACAAAAATTCTCTCAGTTCTAAAAATTAATGGGAATATCTAAAGCAAATTTTTTCGGAAGTACGTTAATTATTATTACACAAATTGAATGTTGAAAAAATAGAAGATGGTATTGATAAGGCTGAAAATTTCACAGGTGTTGCCACGTGCAAACTAATACAATCAAGTGACTTATATCCACCTCGATGCAACAGGAATTGTATCCTTCAAATACAATTAATCTACGATACAAACCTGTTGAATTATTGGAGTTAACTTTCCTCCACGGATTAGTTTTCGGTATTGGAGCTTCGACATATTGCTTACTATTTTCCAAAGAATTTTGCTTACGCAAGTCGCTTTGAGCATCTTCCAATTCAACGTCCTTCGATGCAACTGGATTTGGGGGTACCTCAGCGGCAGTCGCCATAATGTTGCTTTAAAAGCTGAAGTTAAAAAAAGAATAAATTAGCTGAGTTGAATAATGTTAAAAATAGTTTTCTTAAAAAAAGATTAAAATTAAACAATATAGGTATATATTAATAAACAGTCATAACCCAAGCATTTTTATGAACAAAAAATATATTGAACAAGTTTAACACAACAGAAGGTAATACCGTTGAATTGCCAATTTATTCATATCAGTAATATACACTATTACCTTCCGACTATATACATAAACGAAACAAAAAGAATCGATAAAATATTAATTTAACCATTTGAAAGTCGCCAAAATATTTCTATAATTGAAAAAAAAATTCAATGAAAAAAATAAATTAAAGCATCAGACTTATCGTCTTCAATTCTCGTCTGCTACGTTAACAGTTTTTGTACTGTCTAAAATAGAGCCAACTCATGTCTGGTCCGTGTAACCTTCAATGACCGTTACTGTCACAAAACCGAATAGTTTACCTCGATTTTAACTGTCTCTACGTTAAAACTGATCTTTAAGTTATTTTTAGTCAGTTTCAGCTCTAAAAGAACGCGAATGTTAAAACACGTTTTTTTGACAACCCGACCACCACGTCCTTGTTCCAGCTGTTTCGATTAAATTCATTCATTTCCAACAAAAATTTCATCTCCACAAACGCCATTACTGCCACGCTCTTGAAACAATGTCAAAAAAGGTAAAAGAAGGTCTTGCAAAACCACAAAGTCGATTTTTTAGGGCATGCTTCTTATATCACCAATTCTTCCTAAAAACTTGCAATTTTTGACAAAAGAGGTCATAAATATCGAATACAATATTAATTCTTAGTAAAAGTTGATAAAAAATGGGTTATAGCGACAAAAAATGAAATTTGAAGTAACACGTGCTTCACCAAAGGGAACATGACAACAAACACGTCGTCACTCCTTGAAAACTCACTTTTTCTCACGAAAACGTACAGCAAACAACAGCCAAACTGGATTATAAATATTCAGATATGTTTTTGTCTATGTAAATAATAGCTTCTGCACCCTATTTTGGCCTTTTTTAGGCTGAAAATTGGGAAAATACGCAGTTTCTCCTTCAATAATCCATAGTGGCCATTTTCTTAAAGCGTGAGTGCGCATGTGTGGAATCGGAAACGAGACCGCCACAGTTTTCCGGTTCTGATATACTTTACCATTTTCTTCCGACCAGTTGTGTATTTCCCGCTAAAAATTGATTTTATTAAGTATAATATACATTTCCTATTTTTATTTTTAAATTCGCAAAAATTTTAAAACATTGGGTAAAATATCTAAAATATGAAATAAAATAAAGTCTGTAATAAAATCGGCCAAATAGTTAACGATTGGTCTATTTATAAACTACTCTTTGGGCGATAATGGGTGTAACTGACCTTTGGAAAATAGTTTCAACTCAAATTGTTACGAAATCTTTAGAAGATCTAAGAGGACAAACAGTTGCTGTTGATTTGAGTCAATGGATAATGGAATGCGAAAATTCTGCTTGGAAGCATACCATGCAGAAAGCTCATATTCGTAACTTATTTTGTCGAGTTACAAGTCTACTAAAGCACGGCATCATACCCATATTTGTGCTGGATGGAGAGACGCCTGACCTGAAGAAAAGAGGTAAAGGAAGACTTGCTGGAACACCTGTCAGAACTGTCAAAGAAGTAAGCATAAACTGAAAGTATACTTTATTGATCTAAATTGCAGCTTATTAAAGTGTTGTAGACTACTTACATGTATCGGCTTAGAAAGTCTCCAAAGTCCGGGTGAAGCGGAAGCTACTATGGCTCATCTAAATTCGAAAGATGTAAGACTTATTTAATGATTAGAATTCAATTGAAAGAGGAAGAAATCGATGTCAAACCTTAAATTGACAAATAAAAAATCTCTTTCAGATCGTTGACGCTTGTTTAACAGATGATAGTGATTCGTTCCTCTTTGGAGCCAAAATAGTTTATACAAAATTTAGTTCTATGGAAAGAACTGTACGTATTAGACTTTATTGAATTTTTTATCTAAAAAAAAAGACTTGTTCGAATATAGAAGAACCTAATACGATCATTCATTCACTCTCCATTAACAATTGCAGGCCGATAACGTTTCGGTTTTTAAATCCTCTTCAATACAATCAAGCTTAAATCTAACTAGGGAGAAACTTGTTGCGTTGGCGTTGTTCGTTGGTTGCGACTTTACAGATGGTGTTAAAGGAATTGGTAAGGAAAAATTTTTAAAATGGTTAAAGAGTATAGATGACAACGAAGATGTCCTCGAAAGGTAGGAAATGAGCGGAATTTATTACATCTTTTGATAAAGGGCGAAATCAAAAGTAATTTTTGTTTCTAAGATTACGTGGATGGAAAACAGCACCTGAGCCTTCAGTCATAGGTGAATTCTTGAAGCTAAAAAAGAAAAGTCACTGTGGAGAGTGCTCTCATCTAGGTAGTATAACATAATTCAAAGACGTAAACAAAAGAAATATTCTTAGAGATGTTAAAAGAGCAAAACTTATAGCCATTTCATGTCTCATTAATAATTCTTATTGAAGAGAAAAAAGCTTATCAATAATGTCTCTCCCTGTCTAATGAATCGAAAAATGTATATGTATGATATAATCATTTTTCAATGATTAATCTTCTAATACTATCTTTCAAATTAACCCCACAGGCTAGTTTACAAACGAAAGTCTTGAAATCATATAATAGCTGTAATGCATAATGTATTGTTTTCAATTATACTACTTTACACACGTAGCTGGCTTTACAGGTTCCACAAAACAACATTTAAAGAATGGCTGTGCAGACTGTTTGAATAATGTATGTTCAAAGCTATGCAAAGAACGGTCATGTTCTTGTGATTGGCATCGACTAAAAGATTTAACAGAATCTATTCTCCTAGAAAGCAAATTACGTAGCGCAGCAATAAACCAATATCCAGATTTCCCCGATGAAAAAGTAAATTTTTTACTAAAACAAAAACCAATTTATTTAGTTTAGCACGGATGAGAAACTTGCAATTTCTAACAGGTTATTGATATATTTCTACGTCCAAAAGTGGTTGAAAAGGCAGAGAAACCAACATGGATGAAGCCAAATTATAACGCCTTGAAGGTAATGTTACTATTAGATATATTTTTATACATATCTATATACAGTATATATTTGTATAATAATACAAGTCGATATGTATAAAGTGTTGGACAAATCTGTTTTGCTTCATAGAACTTTCTTACTGATCATCTCGACTGGACAATAGAAGAAGCAACCAGTAAAATTTTACCCTTGATTACTCTATGGTATTTACGTAACAATGATAAGGAAAGTCTTAAACCCAGTCGGTAAGTAAAATATCTAGGAAAAAAATATCCTCTCGTGATATAATATTATACTATCTTCTATTATCTTGATAAAATAAAAAAAAAAACAAAAATATGCATAGAATTGTTAAGAGTCGGCAACAATACTTCCAATCAAAACTGGAAATTGTGTGGGAAAAAATCGAAGGAATTGATATTGAGAGTCCTACAACGTTGGAGAGATTTGAAGACATAGAATGTACTTTTCCGGAGTTAGTGGAGCACTTTCTTGCAGCGAAACGGGGAAAGAAGAATACAAAAAGAGGAAAGAAGAAGGATGTACTCCAAAGAAAGATAACGGATTCTTTTAAAATTGTAAAAAATCCTCATCATTTCTGTTCGAAAGGGAGAGAGAGTCTTAGGAGATCTGTGTCTTTAGAAGATATTAGGGTAATTAAATCCCCAATAGGTGAACAATTAACAGAAGATGTTATTGAAGAGGAAAAAGATTCTCAATCGCATATAAAACAAGAAAAAACGCCTTTTCCTGTTAAATATGAATCAGATGATTCTTTACCCTCCTTAACAAAGTTTATAAGAAGAAAAGTTGATAAGCATAGAAAGCCGAAACTTGCAGATAAGGAAAAGCCAAAGTTTATAATGTCATCATCCGAAAGCAATTCGGAAGATGAAATCTCTGAGAAAAAATCTTGTACCCAGTTTTCGTTGAATTTTAGTCTAGATTCATCTTTTTAAACGCTTCAACTCCTCTCTCTTTCTCTCGTTTTATTATCTATTTTCAGCTTATAAATTGAGTTGCACTACTCTTCTTTCTTTGTTGCTATATTATTTTAACTGACTGTTTTTTAATCAATAATAAAAATGAAAAGGAACGAAAATCGAACGTTTTAACGAAGTCATCAGTTCAAAAAATTTTTAAAACGTACTACGTCAATTCTGTTTATCGAATAAAATAGCTTTTTAACAGATTTATTTTTATTCTCAGTATGGGGAAAAGGATATATTTGTCACTTTTTATTAGGTAAACTCTCAATTAACGACCCCAAAAAGGAAAATGAATTTGATATATGTTCAATGCTATATATATTTTAGTTCGTTTATTCTTGTTCAATTAACAATAAATACATTGTTTCGAAAGCTCAGTTTAAACTGGTATGTTAATCCTATTCTCTATGCATTGTATCTAAAGTATGAATATAAGGAATGTTATAACTCGGAATGGACAATGAGATAATTTTTTATAAAGTGATATTGTTAAACATTACAAAAGAGCTTTAAACTGACTTTCCCTTGTTGGAATAATAATAAAAAACCACTGTTAGATAAAAAAAAAGAATGGGCACTATCTGATTATCGAATTTCGAATGAATGTTCCCAGAATGATCCTATTTGGTAAAAGTGCTCTGTAAAGATCATACTCGTAATAAAACGTAGAGAGTAATTTATCATTTGCTTTCATCGATTTTCTTTTTCCATGTGTCAATTTATACCTACGAAACTAATTCTGTTTTTATTTCGTAGGGTATAAAGGCATGATTATACGTAATATATGTAGTACTGTATAAGAGTCTGTCTTTAACGACAATGGATTACTTATTAATCAACGAGTTAACTCTTGATCGTTTGGAAAAGAGATAAAACGACTAATTATTTATTGAAAAAGAAAAAGTAGGAAAAGGCGCGTGATAAATGAAAATTGGTTTTCTCTCTTCTATAAGATTTTTCCAAGAAAATCATAAAAATGATCATAAGATATTTGGTTAAGAAATACCAAGCTATTGAATATTTTCTGTTTTAGCTTTGACTTTCAATCAAACTAAACAAGTGTTACAAATTGTATTTCCTTCCTGTAAAACTTCATAGTTCATTAACACTGTTTGATTGATGGCTGTAGGCCAGTGCTTTTTCCAGAATTATCTTATTGTCAAAGTTCGTCAGAATGGTAAGGGATCGAAAAGAAATACTTTTATTTTTCTGAAGGGGGAGCATATTAGTTTAGGTTTGTTATTCGTATCGTTTCCGAAAGACAAGTCACGGTAAAAGTAGACTGAAGGACTGCAATATACATGTAGAGTAGACGGTGAGTAGTGTACGTAAACTGAATAAATCCTCCGTCTATATAGAGCACATCCAGTATTGTTTGAAAAAAATCTACGATATAGTAAAAGACGTCAGAGGTGAAGAAGAATTGTTCGGCTGTTTATTCGTTTGATTTTTCAAGTATGTAATATCTTATTTAGGAAATTTAAAAAAGAAACTAAAAATTATCAAGTATATATTTCTTCTAACAGCTTTCTCACTGACATTTGCGTCAGTAATTTGTCCCAAAGCGACGTTTTGTGCCAGCAATTTTGTATTTTACGCACGTTCTTTCTACTAAATAGACTCTTGACGAAACTTGACAAGTGTCACAACATCAATGCCTCTAAATGTATGAATAACAAACGCTTTACAACGCACATCAGGCTAGATAATGACAGCGAAATATAGAATAATTATACTAGTTCTCCCGCCTTCCACTCCTATCAAAAACTGTCATGTTAGTAATTTGTGTATTGGTTACTTGCTTCTTCTTGCAACCGAACAATTTGGCTAAATTTTTTCTAAAGTAGCTTCCGGAGAAACAATAGACAAAAAAGTTGACCGCGTTATTAGAATAGTATAAAAGAAAGCAAATTGTTCTTGCCATCTGGAAGGCTTCCTCGGATACACTTGTTCCATTTTTTATTTGTCTCAGTATTGAATGTGGTCCGGTCAAAACCACAAAGGCAATACTAACGCCAACGAGCATTACAGATGTCGTCATTTGTTTATCAACCTTGTTGACTTTCCTCTCTCCAGAAGATTTGAAAAAGATTTGCTGCTGTCCTTCGGCTAGCATCGACTTCCTTCTTCTAAACGTAACAATTAACTTATGAACTATGAATAGGTTCCCTATCAATATTAAGGCGAAAGGGATGGTTAATATCAGTACCAGGTCGCTAATTGGTAGTATTTGTTTATAGAAAAATTCGAATGAGGAAACGATAGAGCATTTTAATATTTTTGCTTGATATTTTGTCGAATTGAGCTCTAAACTTGAATTTCTAAGAGGTCGAAGCTGAATTTTAACACCCCAGAATATATGCATTGCGTAGGAGACAAGTGAAGCTCCTAGAAGTAGAATTCCAACGGCTACTCTCTTCTTTGTCAACCAACAGCCGGCTTTCAGGGGCCAGTGGGTAGAAATTACTCTCAACCATGTAATGAAGACAATTAACCAGCTGCTAAATGCCCAAAGGACATATGCTAGGAAAAAAAGGAGTTTGCAAAGTAGCTGGGATTGGTCCCTGATGTTGAAGCTAAACTCCTTTAACCAGTAATAGCTGAGTTCTGTCAGTAGTATGATTGAGTCGGTACAAGCAAGGATAACTAATGGTACACTAAAAATATCTTTTCTACATTTTCTTGATAAGTAAACCAAGGCAGAGAGGCAATTTCCAACTAGGCCTATAGCCATGATTGTCGGAGCGGCGAAGAGCATAAGATTTTTCCTGACACTTTCCAACAAGGACATTTTTGAAAAATCTTTCCTTTTTTTTTAAAAAAAAAAAAACGTAGGAGGAATCTGAGAAGGAAGAAAATAATAAATCAAATTAAAGATGAAAGACGAACTTAAGTAGTTTACTAAATACATTGTATATTCAATTTTAACGTTAGACAATATTATACATATTATAGTTCATATCTAATAAACTATAAATGAGGTTGACGAACTTATTTAAATATTCTGTTAAATAATATAGAATTATTAAAGTTTAGTATTTTCTTTTTGTATAGAAAAGAAAGAAGAGTAAAAATGGATGAATGTTTCATACTTATTTGGTCGAGTTCTCTATTTTGTTTTTATGATTAGCATCATTAATAATTCATAAAAAACATAAACAAAGAATAAAAAATGAACAGATCATTGAACGAAAGCCTATTTGTGTATACACTATGAATTTCTAGTATTCCCTAATAAAATAGATACTAGCCAACTTTGAAAAAGGACATTACATAATATTGCATTCTATTTAAACGCTTTAAAGATAGTCATTACATTCGTTTAATATTTAAAATACATTAAACAAACGAATTAATGTACTGGTACCATGACTACAGAAGATCGAAAGAGGATAATGACTCAATCGTCCATATTATAAGGAAGATAATTTCTCAATTTAGGATTTTCAAATATAAATAGTTAAAATGAAAAGAAATAGAGTTTCCATGGATATTTCGAGGTGTCAACTGTTTTGTTAGTGTTGCATTTTGACAATAATTTTCCCAATGAAAAATTAATAATATAAAGCACGCAAGTCTCTTTATAGAAGAGTAATTTCTACAACGTCAATCTAAGCACTTCTTTTGTATACAATCAAAATGTCAAAAAAGTCACTTTTAAGCACTAACTATATCCCTATGCTTTATATATATATATATGTACATGCGTAGGTGGGATGAGGGGTAGTAGGGAGGAGGGAGGGGGGAGGAATGATATGCGTGTTCATTTCGTTTCCTTCCTCTCTTTCATGATAAAAATGATTTTTTTATTTCCTCTGATTAGAGAAGCGTAGAAGAGCGAAAACAAATTTTGGTATATAGTATTCTCCGTGTTGTCTTATCACGCCTGATTGACATAACTCAAAGTTTTAACCTTTATAATCACGTATGTTATTAATGAAACTAACCAACCCTATTCTATTGCATATGATATAATACTTAATATGCTGTTACGTTAAATATATGAAATTTCACTCGATCTATCTGCTTTCTTTAATACATTTTAAGTGAAATTCTTCGGTCGTTCACCTTCAAAGAGAGAGAAAGAGAGAGAGAGAGAGATAAAATTATTTATTTCTTCTATTTCTCTAATTGAAAAGCAACCAGTTTAAATAGAATCATATATTAACATATACAGATGCAAATGTATATACTGTAGATATGTCTACACAAATTCAGCTTTTGTCTTTCTCCTCTTCCCCTCTTCTCAAGACATTTCTTAATTATTGCCATTAGTCTTATCATATTCTCAAGTTGAACGCCTTTAGTGGCGAATGGTTTTTTCCTTACAAACACACTCAACACTGACTTTGCAAACAAACAATCAAGCTTATATTACACTTTTATTTGCTAATTTTCTCAAAGGGTATTATCTTTTTTTATTTGGCATAGCAAAATCTTATTAAATCATTCATTCATTCACGGAAGAAAGGGAACTGCCCTTTCTTTTCGTACAGCTTTCTTTATTTTTAACTACATTGCAGTTTTATGCCTGAAACGTGATGGGTTTATTAATAAATAGTTATATAAATATACATATTTACAACCGTTTAACTATAATCGTGACACGAACCACGTGTTTATATAAAACGTATGTATGCGTTAGTCACTCTTCCTTAATTTTTACATTATAATACTTTTTTTTTAAACATTTCTTCTCTAGCAGTTTTTACTTTTTAAAATTAGATACAATAATATTCAATTGGGCGATAATACAATTACGGGGCGGTGAGAGGAAGTCGGGAAAACGTGCGACTTTTGCGATTATCACGCCTTAAGAAGAAATATTCTAATTTGATAATGGAATGAACTTAATATCGCTCAGTTGATTTATTACAAAAAGTCTCCCAAGCCGAATAAAAACCAGGGTGAATGCAATAATATTAAATATTAAATTAGATCATTAAAGAGCATTTTAAAGGGAAAACTTG